AAAACCCCCCAAAATATGGGACGTTCTTTGGTGAGTTTTGAGACAATATTCATCATAACTTGCTCATTTCCCGGCGTATTTAAATGAAACTTGGCAACCCAGTACATTTTCTAGTGCAGAATCTAGTCCTGCTTTCAGATTTTTCATAGCTATCCTACTTTTTGAGTTATGAAGACGTTTATAGGTAAAAATGTGGCGGTTTTTGGTGCGTTTTGAGACAATATTTGTGACATTTTGTCATAGCTCGCCTATTTCTTGGAGTATGTAAATGAAACTTGGCAGTCTAGTACAGTTTTTAATGCAGAATCTAGTCATGCTGTCAGATTTTTTTATATCTATCATACTTTTTGAGTTGTAAAGACATTAACAGGTAAAAAAGTGGTGTTCTTTACAGATTTACAAAGATTATCAGTCATATATCTTCTCCCAAAGTCATGATATTTGAATGAAACTTGGCAACATAAAAGATTCCTCCCTGCCATGCAATGCTCTGGATCAATTTGTCACAAAAATGTAAGTAGAGAGCTGGATTTATTAGTCTAATAAATCCAGTTATCTACTAGTAAAAGCAAGCATACTTTGTTATATACGAGGGCTGTCCCACGGAAAACCGGAATTTGGCTGTAATTTGAAAACTATTCAATATTTTCACATTCTGTAAACGCACACTTGTAAAACAATCATATTGGAATTTCCCGATTGAACACCATGAGCATCGCACAAACCAAACGAACACAGCAGTTCTCCAAAAATGGCTACCCACATGGAAAATTGGTCAAGGATAGAAGTGAGATCTGTCATTCGGTTTCTGACCGCAAAAAGTCTCAAACCTATAGAAATACACGCTGAAATAAAGTCAGTTTACGGGGAGAAAGTAATGGCAAAGTCACAGGTATATGAGTGGAGTAGTAAGTTCAAAGCCGGGCATACGGATATCAATGACAAAGTTCACCCAGGACCTTGTTCTTCTGCCAAGACTGAGGACAACAAGAGTCGCGTTAACGGACTCATTCAAACAGACAGGCGCCTAAAAATTCGCGAAATTTCCGAGTTGCTAAACATTTCAAAGTCGACTGTTCATAGGATGGTGTTTGATGAGCTGCACTATCGAAAGGTCTCTGCTCGATGGGTCCCAAAAGAGTTGACAGCTGACCACGAGACGCGTCGTGTTGAAGTGTCTCAGACTTTGTTGAATCATTGTCGCCAAGTTGTCATGGGAGTCATGAACGCATCTGGAGACCTCCAACAATACGATGAAGCATTTCTGAGAAGCATTATTACAGGTGATGAGACTTGGATACACCACATGACCCCTGAGATGAAGAGGGATTCATTGGTTTGGAAGAACACGTCTTCACCTCCCCCGAAAAAGTTTAGAGTTCAGCCATCGGTGAAGAAACTCATGGCCACGGTTTTCTGGGATGCTAAGGGTGTTCTGCTTCTTGACATTCTGGAACCAGGACAAACTGTCAATGCTAACAGATACTGCCAGACTCTTGATAAGTTAAGAGAGGTTGTGCGCCGAAAAAGACCAGGTCGGTTGTCCAGCGGGGTCATTTTGCAGCATGACAACGCAACGCCACACACCGCAAACGCTACGAAAGACTGGATCCAAAGATTCGGCTGGGAAGTTCTGCCACACCCACCTCACAGTCCTGACTTGGCCCTGTCAGATTATCACCTTTTTGGACCAATGAAACGCCATGTTTCTGGACAGCGATTCACTGACGACGAAGACCTCGTGGAAGCCGTGAAAGATTGGTTGAAATCCCTTGACGAAAAATTCTTCAGGGACGGTATCTTCTCCCTGATCCAGCGATGGAAAAAATGCGTCCAGCAGGATGGTGATTACATTGAGAAATAAAGCACACGTTGAGGTATGATGTGTTACATTTTTATTATAATAGGACAAAGGTTGTTGCTTTTATGGACCTTTTCCGGTTTTCCGTGGGACAGCCCTCGTAGAAAATAAGATCGTCTCTGTGTATATCCATTGTTGGACAGTGTCCTATTTTGTGGTAGATTAAGATGCGTTTAGATAATATAGCTTACGAATCATGGGAATATTTTGCATGTGTAGGCTACAACTCATACTATAAATGTAACATATATTTACATCCCCCTCCCCCTTTCTCTCTCTCTCTCTCTCACACGCACACACACACACACACATGCACGCGCGCACTCACGCACGCACGCGTGAACGATAACAATGTATAAAGGGGACTATCTTCCCAGACTGGACTAAATAAGTACCATACTATACTCTTTAATAACAATCTTAATGCCTCACTTTTCCGACCAAACAGAGCACACAGGTCGAGTCCAAGTGTTTGCTTTCCCAAGAGGGGGGGGAATAGGCTTTCATAACGCAAACACAATGCTGTACCACTTCTCAAGATGTTTGCTTTTCTGTTTCGATTCTTCTGTCATGCAATCAAGCAAATAAAAATGACTACATCTATTGTATTGTGACTAAAATGCAACAAAAATTAAATGCAAGTTATCAAGGCCCCTGTTTAGTTTTCAAGTACCCTTCGCCCCCTTTCCGGTTCACATAAGCGGGGCCTCGTTTGTAGCGCCCGAGGTGACCGATGGCTGATGACGTCACTCAGTGGAAATTTCCCAGCCGCGGTCGTTCACCCAGCACACGCAAATGGCAATGCCGCTTTTCCCCTAGTTACTCCCACATTTTTAAAGATTGTACGCAAAATCCGCTAAACACAGTCGCATGAAATTTTAAGGGAATAAAGAAAAATGGTGTACAACGTATCAGTCAGTTTGACAAATCACAGCTCCGAAAAATCTTCAAAACGCACCACATCAACCACTTTCGCAAACGTTTTCGACTGCTTCTTGGATGGGTACAAAGTTGTCAAAAAACTGCATACTACAAGATTGACCTCTTTTCTGATTGGCTGCCAAGTTTCATTCATATCCATTCTGGAGAAGCGGCGTGAGAGCGAGTTGAAGACAACAACCTTTGCGTTAGTGCGTCCCACAAAACACCCCCGTGGCGGGGCCAAAAATCAGCAGAACAAAGCGCGCTCCGTGGGCATTGCTACTTTTATCTATCTTGGGTATATATACAAAAACCTCTCTCTCTCTCTCTTTCTTTGCCACTCTCGCCTCTATGTGTGTATTATATATAATAATATGTGTTTGTAGTTTGTGTGTGTTTGTGTGTGTTTCCAAGCGATCGGCAGATGGCGCAATTCTTGCTTGCTTTGCACAATCTTAACACATTACACCCTAACTCGCCCCGGAATTCCCTTACGCGCTCCACCCTGACTCGCCTGGAACGGCCGCGCCGACCCAGCGTCTTTAGAAACGAAAGTCTCGCCTTGACGAGACTCTGGGACCGGGATTTTGATTTGCATAGTAAAGCAAAAAGTTTCTTCTTTCGTTTGATACCGAAACGAAATTTTTCGGGCCAGTAGATTTAGTATTAGAGCTGATCGAAGTGCGATCGCGTTACCGACACTTCGAAAGTGCCTCGACTTGTTGAAAAGCGACACAATTGAGTTCGAAAACGGAAATAACGATGGATTTGAGCAAAAACGAGCATGTGACAAATCAGATGGCTCAGATTTTGATGAAAACGTAGGAAGAGTTTGGGGCGATTCCGATTGATCAGACGGAGAAATTATAGAATTTAGATCTAGGGCCCGACCGCGAGGCTGAGAGTGAGAGTGACGGGTCGGACACCCTGATTGAACTAAAGTTAGAACATTTCCAACAGTTTGCGCATACATAAAGTTATATTTTTCTGAAGAAAGTGGCTATTCTCACCCGCCCGGAAGTTCTCGCAAGATCAACTCCTCCCCTCTTCTCTCTCTCTCCGTCTCTTTCTGAATACTGTCTATCGGTGTGGACGATCAAATTGACCAAAACAAAGTTAAAAAATGATGTTAAAACACAAAAAAGTAAATTAATTTGGTTGTCTACAAAGATGCTACGGTTATTTAACTTTTCGAATCGAGCCGAACTACGCGGGTCGCCATTTTGTTTTGCCCGGAAATTCTCGCGCTACTCCTCTCTCTCTTTCTCTCTCTCTCTCCACTGCCCACAGACAAAATTGTACGCTTTTAGTAGGCTACAGTTGTAATGGAACGTTTGTTCACGGCACAGAATTCTACAATTTTTCTGTTATCACAGTGTAGAATTCTGTGGTTAAGGGTGAACGCGCACCGGGTGAGAATAGCCACAAGACTCGCCTGCACTATTCTCACTCCCGGTGAGAATAGAGGTGGCCTTTCTGAAACTACATTGTTTTCTTTTGAACTTTTATTTTTTCAGGATTTTTGGAATTTGTTTAGTATTTTTAAAATGTGTTTTTTAAAGGCTAGTATTCACGGGAGGTGGGTTCTTTCCCCTTGCTTAGGATCTAACAATGGACTTCCCGTCCAGGCCCTTTTAGGGTGTAATGTGTTAAGATCGCGCAGCTCTATTCATTTTTGGAAATAATCCGTAGATGGCACGCCCATCTCGAGATGGTAGCGCTTTCTGCGGATCGTCATATGGTTCTGCGCTATCTTAAGATTGCGCTGATCGGCAAATGGCGCTTGACATCTAGAATCTAGATCTATAGTCTAGATCTAGTATAGATCTAGAAGATCTAGATTTCTAGATCTAGATCTAGATATCTAGATTCTAGTAGCCTCCTACTTCAATTGAAATTAATGCCTTCAAAAGGTACTGCGAGAAAACAAGACTGTTCGCCCCCCTGCACCCCCTCCCCTTTCTACCGCAGTAGATGTAGATGTAGATCTAGTGGTGGTCTGCTAATGTTCAAAGAGGCCGATAAGCAGTTGAGTCGACAAGTCAAGTGGATACACATGATTTCATTTCATTTTCGGCAAGTTCGGTCCAACTCTCGAGACAAATTTGCAAACTACTTTTCAGATGATCACAGCTAAAATCAAACACAGGAAATTTGAGTGAAGATAACACGTCAGCTATCTTCATAAATGCTTTAGGACATTGATGAATATATTTACCTGAGAAATGAACACGTCTTGCAATGTTTACTTTTTCGTTGCAAGCAATTCCAGTCGGAAACAAGCCAACACGAATTTCCAGTAATCAACAAAACAACCTCAACGTATCAATGTATGTCGCTCAACAAACCAATTGTCCAGGTTTTATCAAGAGGAAAAGGGTTAACTTTTTATAACTTTTGTAAAGTTTTTTAAAATATGGCTTCAGAAATCAAATTCATAAATACTATTATTTTCTTTAGAGACTAATAACTATTAGATAATAGATCTATTACTGTAGTTTTTAAAGACACAAAACATGATTTTTTTTTTCATTCCATTCCAATTAAATTTGTTTTACAACCTGGCAACTTAAAGAAGCTTCCGGAAGGGAAGTAAGCATGAAAAAATTATTCTTTTAACTTTCGTTCTTTGCTTTTTTTTCTGCTGTGTGCAGGCTTGCTGTGTGAATGTGTGGCAGCATTTGCTTTTTGAACTCTCTGACTAATCCTGGAATAATATACATTTTTAAGCTTTGTTGAATCCAAATTCTGACTCTGCTGCTCGAAAAACCCCTGGAGACTCAAACAGCTTCTAGATCTACGTGATTTAACACAAGAATAAGAAGGGTGTTGCGCAGAGACAATTGACAATGGAAGAAGATATTGGGGAAAGACTCCGTGAGGCGGCATGTGTTGGAGACTTGACTTTGGTGTCTAAACTTCAAAGCCAAGGAGTAGACCTTAACAGTAAAAATTCATTGAATGGCTGGTATGTCCTACTACAGTGGGTGTCGCATTCAACGAGGTTGGCGGGACCGGCTTGTTGTCCTCGTTGGCCGTTGGGTCCGACATGTCTTGTTGACTGTTGAATGTGACTGAGGCTAAACAAAGAAAAGAAAGGAGACAGTTTATTACATTACACGATGTACTGTAAATATACCAATACCAGTGATTAAAACAGTTGTCCCCTTGATGACGAAAATCTCAAACAGCATCAATGTGCGCGTGTCGTGTTTGAGCTGTGTTCTGACCGTCTTTTCTGAATTTTAAAATATTTTTATCAGAACACTTCTCGTGTGGAAACATACCCTCTCACATCTAGACCTAGAGCTAGGTGCTTTTTCGGTAGTTCCCACCCCTATTATTTGAGCCTAGATCTAGATCTAGGTCTAGATCTATAACGTTTGATGCGCGGCGAGCTAAGATCAAACCTAACAACTGCAAAACATCAAGTTATGGTAAAATCAAGGGGGCATGCCCCCCTGAATCCCCCACCTTATTTTTATTAGGTCAGGGGGGCTAGTAACCCCCCTACTCTTGGGGCCAAAACCCGCGAATAACAATTGCGGGGTGGAAACTACCGAAAAAGCGCCTAGAGATCTACATAAAGTAAAGGCGAGAGCTTGATTCTCTGATCAGGGGAAGAAAAGAAAAGTGAAAAAAAAAGGTCTCGTAGACCTTCCTTGGCCTACCCATCCAGAGTTCATCCAGTTTCACACTGCCCACATCGCGTTCCCACCCACCCCCTCCCATCCCTACCGTAGGCCAACCCTCGCCCATCCTCTTGGCTTTCGGGCCCATATTAGGAGGCTCACTAGATCTAGCAATACAATGTGTATGGAATCGAGGATGGGCCTTGTGCTTCACGTGAGATGGAGAGAAAGGAGAAAAATTCTTCGCTTTTGGGGCTGCTAATTGCTTTTATTTAGTTATTGCGACTTCGGTCTGTTTGCAACCTCGTTGGAGCTGATGTGTACACATATAAACAAAGAGATATATATAAATAGAGGAAAAACTCGGGGATTAAGGATTGCCTCGTTTGGAGCCGACTTCTTGTTGAATGTGACCTCGTTGAATGCGACACCCACTGTACTCTAATTAGAAACTGTGTTAATAATAGTGCCATTTCAAGTAATTTATTTTACTTTCTGAAGTTAATGTTTCTAACTAGCCTAGTTAGGGTCATGAAGATTAGATTTATGCCTTTATAGTTCTCTTACTAATAAAACTACTAGATCTAAATCTATATATTGGATGCCAACACTTACACTAACTCCTACAAGATGGTTATTATTCTGACTTTATATTAACCCTTTTGATGAAAAGTTTTGACCTTTAATCTAGCCTAATTATTAGATTTGAGATTTTCTTAAAGGGAATATAATGAAGTGTATACAGACCCGGTAACCAGGAACAAAGTCATGAAGTATACAGACCCGGTAAGGGAACTCTCTTTTGTGATTTCGGAAAGTTTCAGTGCCCAGACCTGGTAGTGTGGGTGTGTGTGTGTGTGGAGAGAGAGAGAGAGAGGGAGCAGGGGGGAAGTACTAGCAAAATATGTATGACACGCCCCAGTTGGCAGGAGGGTACGAGAGAAAGATAGAGAAGGAAATAGGTGGGGGAAAAGAAAGACAGAAAAACAAGCAAAGAAAAAGAGAATGCGAGCGATACACTGAGACAGAGGAGAGAGAGAGAGAGAGTGACTGCTCGATTGAAATTATGACATTGTTCTTTTCTTCAAATTGTGATTCCTCCAGCTCCAAAACGGAGGAAAAACGATCGTTCATCGAAAATACATCCGCAATCTTCATAGATCAAGAAATTTGGTACGGCTACGGTTTGAGTGGCCATAGATCTAGCTCTACATTTGTTTCACAACGCCGTGGTATCATCTTAAAGCTTCTTGTGCGTTTGTTTTGCTTTCAATGAAAAAAATACCCATCTGCTTGAATGGAAGTCAAGATATTTTGTGATTGGAAAAGGTGGTTTCAGAGGTAAAGTTAGAATCTAGTGACTTGCAAGAAAAGGGCTGCCAAAGTTTTGTGTAATTTCCATGGTTTTATTTTGAAAGTAATTGAAAACTGTACATTAAAATTTTTTGTGCCTTTAATTAATGTTTTTATAAAATATAAAATACACACAGAAATGTGTTTTAAAATTAACACAAAAGATGTTGAGCCAAAATACAAAACTTCGATAAAATCTGCCAAAGCTGTGGGAAAAGGGAGTGTATACAGACCCAGTAACCGGGAACAAAGTCCCGAAGTATACAGACCCGGTAGGGGAAATCTTTTGTGATTTCGGAAAGTTTCACGGTTTTAGCGCTCTCTTGGCTCAGGGTAGACCTAGGTTCTTCTATATCTAAGACCTAAGTCTAGATCTAGACAGACAGTAGACAGACATCATAGATCTAGTTTCGAGGCCTAGATCTAAATGAAGATTGCAGATGTCTCTTCGATGAACGATCGTTTTTCCTCCGTTTTGGAGGAATCAATAAAGACAATTTGAAGAAAAGAACAATAATTTCAATCGAGCAGTCACCCTCTCTATTTCTCTGTCTCTTCCCCCCCC